GGATGCTTAGGCATCCGTTTTATTCATAGGTCAGTCGTTGAGGTGCCGTCTAAGATATTCGTAGTATCTGAGCCATACTGACCATAGACCCAGCTTCAACTTTGTGCAGAAACAATGAACAAGCAACATAAAACCTAACACTACAGACAACGTGCTCGGGATCACCTGGCCCCGCTGCCCCTGTCTGAGAATCAACGATCCCCTAACCTCGCACGCGGGCCGCCAACCAGATTTGAGAGCCACTGACCCGAGATGAGGCTGAGCGAGGACTCGGCGTTGTCGATGACGCTGGTCAGCTGGTCCATGGCCTCGCGGATGTCGTCGGAGGCGCAGCTACGCCGACCGCACGGCGCCGCCGCTGTCGGCATGTTCTGGTACAGGCAGTGGTCCGACTGCGGGCAGAGGAGGAAGCGGCGGTTAGCCGTGAAGCCGCATCGTCAGGACGGGACGAAGCGGTGATGGGAGCCCGAACTGCATCGGTAGCAGTCGATGCCATGCTGGTGGTTAACACAGAATGACTTCACGATGTCATTGCTCTCTTCTCTATTCTTAATGTGGCTCCGCAACTACCCATCAGCCGATGTAGCTCTAACATATCCCCCGAAAACTGCCTGTAAAGATCGTCAACGGCATGCCGGTCAACAAATCTGCAGCAGATGACTGCAAGGCAAAATCAACGCAGGCAATACGAACTGCACGGGCCGATAAGAGAAACGCAGACTGAATTTTCGCCCACCCGCCGCTTTTCGAGTGGTTCTGCAGCCTAAACAAAACACCAAGGCCAAGGACCATCGGGTGACACCAAACTATTTAGCCACCGGCATAAGCAGGGCAGGCCAGCCGTCTTCCCATCTCCACGCGTGTCGCCTCACCAGCGCCGTGGGATATGGGGAGCCGCCGGCGCGCGGCTCGCCTGGCTCGAACAGGATCATGTCGTTCTTCACTTCGATCGTCTCCTCGCAGACTTTCTCCTTCTCGAAGTCGGACGGCGAGAGGCGGCCCTGATTCTGGCGGAGAGCGGAGGTGAGCGTCAGGCGTGGGGCGCCACGTCACGCGCTGCGGGTCTGAGCAGCTCACCAGAGGCTACGCTGCCATCGGAAGATCTAACTGTAAGCACATATAATTCCTGGACGGTGGGATTTTTCTTAAATGACGCTAGTGCGGTTGTAAGTTTTACCATCCCAATGTAAAAAGGCTTAAGCGTCATTTTCTTTCGATGCAGGTCGAGGAGCTGCATCTTGTAATGTCAAGGCAAAAATTGGGGAAACTTTGCCTTCATAATACAGACATGCCCAAACTTACTTTTGCATGAGCACACTCAATGCGCCGAGGCCCAAAAATGCTCACCCTGAACAATTAGCCTGGCGGCGGACACTTGGTGTTTTTGGCCTTCGAAGACAGAGTTATAAAATGGACGACTACAGATGAGAAGACGGGGACTCGGACTTCTAATTCCTCATGCAATTATTTAGTAACCACGGTTTAACGTGTTAGCAGGCAAAATTTCCATACAAGCAGTGAGGCCACGCCCTGCTCGTTGCACGGTCGCTCACCCGTCCGCCCCTGCTGCCGTCCTCGCTGCTTTCCTTCTTCTCCTCCCGCTTCACCTCCTTCGCCACGGTCGGCTCGCTGCCATCGCTGTGACTCGCCAGAGACAGTGACAGTGACGACAGTGTCGACATCGCAGAGGCCGTGGAACTGACATCCGCTTCTTCTCTAGCGCCGCCCGCCGGCGGCGGCGAGAAGCTCGAATACGCACGGCCGCCGACAGGCGGCTCTGCCACGACAATCGGCAGGCTCTCGCGGCTGGCGCGGCTAGTGCGGCTGGTACGGCTGACGCGGCCTGGTGGGGCGCCAACCTGCGCCTCCAGCTGCTCGAGCCGGGAGTTCTGGATGCTCTCCTTGTGGCGGAGAGTTTGGATGCAGCTGATGTGCTTCTGCAAAGTCCACCAACACGACATGTTCCCGCTACTGCATGCATAATACGAAGTGGCAACCTGATATATGTTATGTGGTGTGCATGGTAGTGATTTGGCCACTGAGTCCACCTGTGAGACGAGCTGTTGTGCAGCTGTTAAAGCGCAGATAACCATACATCTGCCCCACAGGCACACGGCTGGATCCCGTGAGTGGATCCGAAATCCTCAGGGAGTCCCTGACAAGTCCCCCACCTCGGGATCACGAGACCCTTCACGCGATTTAAGCGCGTGTCCGATGACCGGCTGTTCCGCTTCTCTGCGGGTCTGACCTTGACCTCCTGGTGGAGAGCGTCCTTCTCGACACGGAGCCGGGCAGAGTGTGCCCGCTCCGCCAGCAGCTGCGCGTACAGCTCCTCCACGTCCAGGTACTGCTGCTGCCATCTGTCAAGCTCATCCCGAAGCGCCGCACTCTCGTTGGTGGATGACAGGAACTGAGAACAAGCACGCATTTTGGGTGACTGCAGGCGAGCGCCGTCAAACTGCTGCTCGCCAAGAGCGGATAAGCCCCTTAGGTACGAGCTTTTATCAGGAGTGACGATCAAAACGCGGATCTAAGGACGCCATCGGCATGGCCTGCCAGCCCAACCAGCTGGCACGTTGCCCCGCTAAACAACATCATCCAACACACCATCACGTCACCGACCCTGTGAGCCCACCCCTTCATAATGAGGCAGTCGTCTTAAGGACGGCTGGAGAATGTACTGTGGCACGAGTGCAGTGGCAACAATCACCTCCCGCTATCAAGAACAAAATTAACTGCAGCGCGTTCGTTCCGGCAGCTTTGAAACATCAACCTCTCCAAATGCTGACTGCTCCCACCGCTCCCGACCCGTGGGCAGCGAGCACGACGTTCGCACCTTCCTGATGATGCTGACATCGAAGCCGGCCTCCTCGATCTCGGCCTGCAGGTGGACCCGCTCCTTCTTGCTGGCTGCCAGCTCGGTCAGACGGTTCAGGAAGCGAAGGCACGCCAGCTGGAAACTGTGCACAATCCAGTAGATTAGCACCGTGCTCGAGTTATACGCGCGATCGGCGTGGGCAGCATCTGCGTCGGCTGCTCAGCCGATTTGGGCTCAAGAATTTGACGTCGGTCTCGCATTCACGTACGCAGGGAGGGTTTTTGAACAGAAAGCTTATCATCGTCTTTCACTGCTGGATGTCATGCGCAGAGATCAGATGAATCGGATGCTCGGCTACGAGCGCAGGCGACAGGTGTCGGGAAATATCCGAAACTATGGCGACAAATTGTTGGTGCGTACCAAAATTTTGACACCATTTGACCTCCATGTACTTTCGTTAGCCCATTTCAATTTTTTTCCTCAAATTATCCGTACACACAGGTCATGCACTAACACAGTGCGTACACTCGGCAGCCAGTAATGTGTCGTGCGATTACAACAGCTCTTTTTTAGGAAAATGGGTATATGAGCAAAAAATTGCTTCTCGTAGCAGTTGCTTTTTCCTTGCAAGAGACTATTACGAATTGTTTGCCCGATGGCTTTAATAGGTTCGTTTCAGTAGGCTCAGAGTACCTGCTACGCAAAGCTTGCTGCATGCATCTTGAACCTCCCTCCAGATTGATTCGTCCAGTTCAAATGATGAGTTTCCCATCCCTTTGGCCTTTCAATCGCCAACTGCGTAAAGGACTGCCCTACCTACTTTCACTGCAATATCTACGCGGCATTTTTTTAAATTTCAGTACGACAGATCCACGTTACAGCTCGTCAGAGCACACCACAGCTAGCTACGACATGCAGCGCCCCCCCCCCCCCCCCCCCCATCAGCCACTGGCAAGTATCGGCCATGCGTCGGCCAGTACGACATCCAAGCACGCTGCCTGGCCCCATACACCGGGTCTGCGAGCCACGCCATCCACGGCCGACGCTCCGATCCCCCTCCCCCCCCCTCTCTCGCCGGCCTCACCTGGGCGCGCCGAACGAGGTCAGCATGCCGACCAGGAACTTGAAGCGCACTGGCTCGCCGAAGCGGAGTCGCAGTGTGGAGGCGGCTTCCATCACCT